CTAGCATGGGTTCCTCGATCAGATCACATGAGTACGTTGCACGTACCCACATGTACACCCATCGTAGGAGATGGAATGCGAAACTCACTAAATGGGAAAAAAATATGAAAACTCAAATAGGTTAAGGGATAAAATGGAAATACCTGATATTCGGAAGCTACAATTCTCCCCCACTTGAATCAAACTTCATCCTCAAAGTCCGCTACCGGAAATAACTCTGGGTAACGCTCCCTCATCTCGTCCTTCGGCTCCCACGTCCATTCTAAACCCTTGCGATGTTGCTACTGCACCTTCACCTTCTCAACAACCTTATTCTTCAAGGTTTCCGTCTTCTTGTAGAGGATCACTACCGGTTTTCTAATGTAGTTTAGGAAATGATCTACCTGAATAGCCTCCAATGGAACCACTGCGGAATCATCAACCAAACACTTCCGTAGCTGAGAGACGTGAAAAGTGTTGTGAATCTGACTGAGTTCCTACAGAAGATCCAATCGATAAGCTACCCTGCCTACTCGGGTTACAACCCTGAAAGGACCGATATACATGGGGCCCAGCTTGCCCCGCTTCCTGAATCGAATGACACCTTTCCAAGGTGACATCTTTAGGAGAACCATATCCCCAACCTGAAACTCTAGGTTTGATCGGCGCTTTTCGGAATAGCTCTTCTGCCGACTTTGATCTGTCTGAAGTCTACTCTGAACCTATTGAATCAACTCGCTAGTCTTGAGTACCACCTCGGTACTCCCCATGACTCATTGACCGACCTCACCCCAGTATATTGGGGTCGTACATTTCCTCCCATAGAGCATCTCAATATGAGGTCGACCAATGTTGGCGTAGTAACTATGGTTCAGTCACTCTGACCAACCGTCTGCGGGTGAAAGGCCATTCTGAAATGCATACGAGTACCCCAGCTCTTCGTGGAACCTCTTCCAAAACCTGGAAGTAAGCCAAACATCCCTGTCTAAAATCACTGAAACCGGCACCCGTGTCGTGCCACAACCTCCATGATATAAATGTCAGCCAACTTATCTGCAAAGATACTCTCCTAAACCGGAATAAAGTGCGCAACCATGGTCAATCGAACCACGATTACCAAAATCAAATCCACTCCGTGCGATGTCCGAGGCAATTTCATAATGAAATCTATGGTAATCACTTCCCATTTCCAAACGGGAATGGCTAACGGCACCATCTTGTCATGAGGCCACTGATGTTTGGCCTTGACTCTCCTGCAATTCAAGCACCTCTTGACATACCAAGCTATAATCCGCTTCATACAGGGACACCTATAATCAGTATGAAGGTCTCTATACATCTTCCTTGTCCCTGGGTGAATGGAAAATATCGATTTGTGCGCCTCCTCCATCAGAACCTAATGCGCACCACCCCAATAACAGACCCACACCGTCCGATGGAGAGTCAATAAACCCCGGCTATCATAATCGAAGGAAGCCACCTGACCCACTATGCGCTCACTCTTTCAGTGCTCTTCCTTCATAGCCTCGTCTCGAATCTGCTCCAAGAGTGGAGTAATCACTGTCATCCTCATACAGATATCCCTGATCGGAGCCACGACCGCCTTACAGCTGAGAGCATCGGCCACCACATTGGCCTTCCCTAGATGGTAAAGGATCTCATAATCACAATCCTTCACCACATCCAACCACTGACGCTGCCTCATATTCAAATTTGGCTGATCCATCAAGTACCTCAGACTCTTGTGATCTGTGTAAATAATACAGAGGACCCTATAGAGGTAATGTCGCCAAATCTTGAGGGCGAAAACCACAACCCCCAACTCCAAATCATGTGTCAAATAATTCACCTCATCAGGCTTCAGCTGCCTTCAAGCGTAAGCAATAACGTGACCCATATGCATCAAAACCACACCCAAATACAAGATCGATGCATTGCAATAAACCACGAAATCCTTAATACCCTCTGGCAGGTTTGGAATCGCCGCCTCGCACAATCTCTATCTCAGGGTCTCAAACGCTGCCTGCTGCTTAGGCCCCCAATGAAAAGTGGCAGTCTTCTTCGTCAGTCGAGTCAGAGGAACAACTATCTTGGTGAAATCCTGAATAAATCTCTGGTAAAAACCTGCTAACCCAGGGAAACTCCGAATCTCAGATGGAGATCTCGGAACCTCCCACGTCATCATGGCCTCGACCTTGGATAGATCAACCAGAATACCATTCTGGTATACAAGGTGCCCTGAAAACTATACCTTGTGCAACCAGAACTCACACTTGGAGAACTTCGCATACAGTCTCTCCCTCTTCAGGATCTCCAATACCTCCCTCAAGTGCTCTTCATGCAGCTGCTGGGTCTTGGAATAGACCAGGATGTCATCGATGAATACAATCACAGACCGATCCAACATCGGTCGGCACACGTGGCTCATGAGGTACATAAGGCGGCTGGAGCATTGGTGACCCCAAAGGGAATCACTACGAACTCGTAATGACCATAAAGAGTTTGAAAGGTCGTCTTCTGCACATCGTCCTCCCTGACCCTCTTCTGATGATAACCCGAACGAATATCAATCTTGTAAAACCAAGATTCACTTTGAAGTTGGTCAAACAAATCGTCAATCCTCGGGAGTGGATAACGGTTTTTCACCGTTTGCTTATTCAGCTGCCGGTAGTCAATACATATCCGATGTGACCCATCCTTCTTCTTTATAAACCGGATCAACGCTCCCTAAGGCGAACTACTCAGTCGAATGAACCCTTTGTCTAATAGCTCCTACAACTATGTAGACAACTCCTGCATCTCCTAATGAGCTTAACAATATGGTGCTTTGGCTATCGGAGCCGCACTAGGAACCAAGTCAATTAGGAACTCCACTTGCCTCTCCGAAGGCACTCCATGCAAATCCTCCGGAAACACATATGGGTACTCCTACATACAATCGGCACATCATCTACAATCACCTTACACTTCTCCCGGGTATCCATAACATAGGCAACGAAACCAGAACAACCCTAATGAAGATAACATCTTGCCCTAGCCGCTGAGCATAGAACCAGACCGTGCTGAATGCCCTCTCCATGGACCACCAACTCTCCCCTACTTGGGGTCCAAACATACACCATCTGAAGCTCATAACCAATCATCGCCCCATTAGGGCTCAACCAATCTATCCCCACTATAACCTTGTTCTCGCGGAAAGGAATTGGAACCAAGTCGATCGAATACTGCTCGCTAAACATCTTTAAAACACAATCTCGATGAACACTTGATGCCCGGACCGATTGATCATCCACAATCTCAACCTCCAATGGACAATCCAAGTCTCCCGGACCTCCGAAAAACATCTTGCTTAGTGCAAGAGACACGAAAGATCGGGTAGCCCCTGAATCAGACAATATCAAAGCAGAGATACCATTCACAAGGGACGATCCTAAAACAAAATACACAAATATAAGCAGAGAAATCAAAATAAATAAAGAGTTAGGAGAAGAGATATACCATCACCACATCCGGTGCAGCACGTGCCTCTTTGACTGTCATCTGGAAAGCCCTACTCCTTACAATAAGTGCATCTACCTTGCCCTGGCGATCGTCAATAATCCGTAGGGTCGCTAGAGCAGGTGCTACGACGAGTCCTCCTAATGCTAAACTTGGCCAGTTGGCCTTCTTGTGGCCCCTCTGATTGTAATGAAAAAAAATCAGATCTGATGTTTGGGTGGTGATGATAGCAGCAGTGCAATCCTTGCTAAAGTGCCCTGTCTTGCCACATTTGTAGCAGCCCAGACCACCCACTCTACAAATCCCATCATGCGACCTTCCGCATTTGCTATAGCGGCTCCGGCCCTACTGGCCCTTCAAACTGGAGTCGAAACCCTTGGTTTTCTTCACCGAAACCCTTGGTTAAGGCGGAGCACCAGCATCCACATGGCCCTTTGCAACCTCTAGAGATTCCCCAGTGGAAGTGGGACACTAATAGAAAAACAGCCTTTTACGATGCGCAATGCGTGTCGTAAAACGCTCAGACGACGCGCAAATGCGTGTCAAGGAAGGCCCTGTCATAACGAGAGACGACATGCTTTTGCGCGTCATCTATAGACGACGCGCATTTACGACGCGCATTTATGGCACACAATGCGTATCATTAAAGCCGTTGCCAAGAAAGGACATGTCATAAATGAAGATGACACACATTTTTGCCTATCGTAATTTTAATTTTTAAAAAAAAAATTATTTATTGATTTACTAATTTTCAAATTAAATTTGCATTTCATGTCTCATAATAGAAAATAAAATACCATATACAAAAAATACAATCCATTGCACAAAAGTTAATGTCGTACAAATAATCATTCCAATAGTTGACAAATATTTGTACATTATTATTAAGAGGTTTTCCCTAACTATATAACCTAGTACTACATTGCTATTTCCTTAGTTTGTGTACATTGTTGTAAGCAAGTGTGTATTAAAGCACCTTCCATGCAGTAGTACCCCCTTGACCAATGCTAGTATCAGAACATAAAGCACCTTTCTGCACAAAAAAACAACAATCAGTCAACAAAGAGTCAACATTCTTTAAAATACTATATGAACCTTCTTAAGTGATGCACATGGACCAAGAATACCCTGAATTACAATTTACAATTTACAACAAAAACAAGAACTGATTGAGACAACCTAGAAGAATAAAATGTTAGGTCAACTTAGCTAAGTATTGAATCCATATGTAATGAATACAATCACAAATGCAAGTGATTAATGTCATTAATGGCATAATTTGTTGCCCTTGTCTTACCTTTATTAGCACCATATATCTCGTCTCATTTCACCTCAAAAATCAAAAAATTCAAATATCCATGATTTGGACCTAAGAACATGGGAATACAAAGATACAAATAATATTTAATAACATTGTCCCAAATATAAACACTAAGAGATGGTGATAGAAGAGAGCGAAAAATGTTATCATATCTCACGAGGGATGTTGCTGATTTGTCTTTCTTCCAACATGTCTTTGTTGTTCAACTTGTACTTATTCGTATGTGCATAATGATTGCTTTCTGCCATAACAAACAACATTCATCATGTAAACGATATTTAAAAAAAAAACACACAAACATTTCATTCCATGATGATTTATTTATAGTTACCTTGCCATGTTGAGTGTTGGTAACTCGTAATTTTTGTGTTATTGAGCCGTTACCATTTCCAGGAAGAGAGTTACTGCTAGCAGGTTCCAAATGCAACTGAAGAATTTAAAAAATAACTTTTTTTTACCAAAATTTAGTATAAAATAATAAATAAATAAACATACTAGGTGGTGGAGGGGTAGGACCAAATCTGTCTAATAAATCCATCATAGGTGAAGGTGATGAAAGGTTGCCTAATGGAGTAACTGAAGTTTTAATAATATTATTATTATCTTGATTTATTGATAATATATCATCATGTGGTGTAGATGAACCATTTTGATGAGTAGCTGAATAAACATACCTCTGGGTTCCGGGTTTCAGGTCAAATTAAAAACTCTTCACCAACCCGTGACCCAACAATAGTCAAATTAAGTCTTTGACAAATCTCCATGTATATTACACTAAGTAAAATCGCTGCCAAAAGGGTAGTTTATATATATAAGCAGTTGGTGGATCATTGAATGCAACCCTTGAAAGACCAAAGTCACAGATCTTGAGTTTGCAATCCGTATTGGCCAAAATATTTTTGGGTTTTAGATCTCTGTGAAAGACATTTGCTGCAAAAGAAGTAATTCACAATCAGGATACACAAAAATATAACAAGGCATGATTACTTCAAACAATTAAACAAATACTCATATCATCAGATGATAACACTGTATGACCTAAGTGTATGTATTTCAGTCCTCGAAGAAGCTGATAAAGAAAGAATTGATGGTGTTCTGGTGTTAAGTCATCGTTTCCTTTAATAACCTGATGTAGACCAGATCCCATAAGCTCAAAAACCACATATATGTCTTTGAATTCGCTTCTTGATGGTGGCAATAAGATGTGTTTGATTTCCACAATGTCTGGACGACGAAGGAGCCTAAGGAGCTTAATCTCACGCATGATACTAGCAGCAACAGAAAAATGTTCGAATATATCATTTATCTTTTTGATTGCTACTTTTTCACCAACATGAGTATCATATGCAGAACATACAATACCAGAGCTTCCTTTACCAATAATTTGTACCTACTCCCTTCACCAAATTCACTGAAAAAGTTTGCTTCTGTAGGTTCCTGCAACAGTCTCCTAGGGTTATTATAATAGATGAATACTAGAAGTTATCTGGAAAATATTTCTTTTATTTTATTTTGTGATTAAGCCCTCATTTTATATACAAAGATACAATGCAAATAGGAAACTAGATAAGGGTAGCATGAGTATTTTGTGTAACCCTATTTCATAAATGTCATCTAGTATTTCTCCTCAAATATGATCTATTTAATGGATTTGTAAGAATGTCAGCAAGTGAAAGGATGAGAAAAAATATGTTAGTCAAATGTTTTCCCACAAAACCCTCAATTTTTTTTTTCATTATAAATATAAGTTGTGTACTTTTGGATACTTACCAGACTTGTAGTATGTCGCTAAAAACCTTCTTCTTTGTGCTTCCTAATACCAACATCAGGATTTGTAGAGATGAAAGTGTTGTTGTCAACCCGACCTCTGGATACCTTTCCAGAACTTTCCTCACCCATAACATTGCCATTGTCATTACTTGATAACTTTTAATCATCATGGGCTGAAAAAGATGAACAAATCAAGATTATATAGTAATAATTTTGAGTTCTCTACCACATGCATTATATAAGTCTAGTTATTATATACCCTCATAGTAGATGACCAGATGAATGTCTCATAAGCATTGGAACAAGTACAAACGAGCATTATTATTTATCAAACAAATTTGTACTAGTTTTAAGAGTGTAAAGAAGATAATCAAGTATATAAAGACTACTACGGAGTGGCCCTGTGAAAGGTTCCAATTTAGGCATGCCCCATCACCTTGGCTACAGAAAAAACTTATCAAGAATCAGGCTTCAGAGCAAAACAATGAAACTAGAAATACTTAATAATAAAATGAATGAAAGAAATTTGGATTATGCTAGTCACCAATATAACTGAAGTAAATGATAGAATGATACCATGAATATTTTAACTCGGTACTTCTTTCTGCATAAATACTTTTTTGTGTTTTAAAATTATGAAATTGCATTTCTATATTCTAAGGAATCTATACACACAATTCAACAGGAGCTGAAAATACCAGAGTTCTCTACACTGGAGGCAAAGGGAAACCTATCAAACATTCTTCCAAATATTGTTTTGCCACCAGCCTGCAAGGAACTATAGATTTTGTCTTGTATGTTCAGTGCAGATTCAAGACTTAAAACAACCTCAGCCATGGTAGGGCACTCCTTTGGATGGCTAAGCAAACATCTCTTTGCAATTTGAACAAACCCATTCCATCATTTTGTGGATATTTCACATTTTATATCATAATCAATCTTAAGATCGGGTTCAAAATTCAGATCTGAAGCAAGTTTATATCAGAATCAATCTTAAGAAAAAAACAGAGACAAATTGTATAGATAGAACACATGAAAAAGAAAAAAGCAGAGACAAATTGTCTTAACTTACATATCATTAAGGTAAATGTGCCCTAGAAGATGAACAACATACGACCATTCGTCTTGAAATGCAACGCCTTGTGAAGCAATCTACATGAAAAAGGGAAAAAGAAAGTAACAGTAAGATTGAAATCAAGCCAACAGATATAATATTAAGGTTTCAAATCTTAACCCAACACACAGTCAGTCGTAGTAGTAAGCAACGATCAGCGCGCAATGATCATTACACAGATTCATATGTATGTTACCCGAAGCATAAGTTGATCGCAGATATCAGCGACTTTGTCGTACGATCTTAACGCCATTGCGTCTGTGAGTTGAGAGAAATCCAATGAAAAACATATATGAAAGGGGTAATTAAGATGGATAGAATTGAATAGCCAACAAGTACCTTATCCATGTAGTTATCGATTAGGGTTCGTTGAACTGGTAGCTTGGATTGCCAGTTGATGAGTCGTAGTTGTCGATCGACTCTACAATTGAGAGGAGTTGCAGTTGCCGAACCAGTTAGTGTGAGGATCAATGTGGAAGAAATTGGACTACAGATCTGATTGCTTCACCTTTGCGATTTCATAGATGTGTTTTAGGGTTGTCGTAGTTATCGATCGACACTACAATCAAGGGCTTCCGATTTGTATTTCTAGGTGCAAGCGTTGACTGTCACACCCCCGAACCAGACGGCGGAAACGTCCGAGGGCTCGCGTGACTTAAATTGAATATCGTCACAACGAATATACATGAATCATAACATAAACATCACCATGCATCAATATATTACAACTGGAATTGTTCACATCAAGTACATTGTTTTAACGTTACAAATCCATACATAAATTGTGTGATAGTTTTCAAAAACAAAACACACTAACATACTTGGTACTTACTCCTCGGCTTACCTGTTACCTGAGAATACAAGTTATTTTGAAAAACGGTCAACATAAGGAATGTTGGTGAGTTCATAAGCAATGTTGTGATAAAAATGATTTGTGTAGTTTGTAAAACCCAGAAAATCCGATATTTTCTGAAAAGACCATTGTTTATAAAAAGGTGTGAAGATCCGTAAATATATGCATGATGATTTCAACACATGTATAATTGAAAAAACTTTGTATTAACCGTACAAGTGCACAATGTTGAACTTCCCCGGAAAACCCGATGTTTTCCAAAAACATAAAATACAGTTATTTCTCGAATTGTGATACCGCCACAATGAATGATTTTTGATTACTCTTCCTTGATTACTCGGGTGGTGTTGGATTAATTAAGGTTTGCGAGTTGTTATAGCCATGCATTAATAATGACTAGTTATAACTACAGTTTACGAACGATCCTTAGAGGCGTCGCCCGTTATCGCTCACTTAATCCAAACAACCTTGTTTACCATTGATTAACAACCTGAATTTGTTTACTTTGATTACTCATAAGCCTAACAAACGAGGAGAAGAGGAGTACGAAGTCCTGCTACTTCCGTGAGTTATTTTAGGCTATCGGGGATGCGAAAGACACGTTGGCCCATCTCGCATTTGATTACTTTGACCTTATGACAATACTAATGGGTCACTAGGGCCCAATAGCACTTAAAAAGCCATTGAAGGTCCCTTTATATGGAATTGGGTCATAGAAGGCCCAATAGCATATAATCATTATCCCCTTCGGCCCAAGGATCATGTTAATGGACTTCAAGGTCCAACAAGCATGATTTGAGACTTTCAGCCCAAGGTTTTTGGAATGTTTACTTGTCTTAGGCATTGTATAATTGTTGGAGAGTTTGATTGAACGATTTGTTATTTTCGTATCGACTCGAGACCGAGCGATTTGTTTATAACGATATTTGGAGTTATACGTGTATTTGTCTTTCGATTTTGTAAGCCGTAGATTAGTATTTTTGACTCAATAATCTATAAATAAAATAATTGGTTTAAAAATAGTGGTTTGACCTTTTTAGCCCCTTTCTTTTTTATAAAATAACAATTTTAGTCTTTTATATAAAAGAAAAGTCATTTTAAGCCCTTAAAACATTTTCTTGACACTTTTGCATCATAGACTTGTTTAAATGATGTTTTTAGCTCAAAGTTTATTCTTTGGCAGTTTTAGCCCTTCCAGAAAAGTGTTTTTCGGTTTAAAACCCAAACTTTTGCAACTTTTACAATTTTGGCCCAAAATCCAAAAACTTAACATTTTTGATCCCTTTTGGAAAAGAAAAGCATTTTTAACCCTTGAAATAGTTTTGTTACACTTGTTATCCCCTGTTTTGAAGAATTTACCATTTCAGCCCCTTTAAATGTCATATTTTCGCAATTTTTGGGCTTATTGGGCCGAAAAGCCCAAAATTGAGCCCATTAAGCTAATATTTACATTTTAAGTCCTTTGAAGATCATAATGTTCATAAAAACAACTATTTTAACTGTTTTGACTCTTTTGACCTTTAAGAAAACGTGATTGGCAACTTTTAACCCAACTTTTGTATATTTGACAATTTAAGCCCAAAAATGGGTTTTATGCTAAAATATGTTTATCACAATCTTATAAGTTAATATTCTTGACTTGTTAGTGTAATATAACTTAGATCATGTTTGTTTTCCTTCTTATGACATAGATCTCGAGATTTCTTCCCTTTTTTGTTTACATATTCAACACAAAAACACATAAAATCACACATACATGCATAAAATCATACATAGCATACACATACACATAGATCTACACATTTTACTTGTATTCTCCCCCATAAAACTCATGAAAACCGAAAAGAGAGGGGTATGGAGCTCACCTTTGCTTGTTGTTTTCGGTTTAGAAGGAAGAAATGGAGAAAGTTTCGATCCTAGCAAACCTTCTTGGAAGATCTCGAACTTAGAGGCTTCTAAGATGGTGTTCATGAGTTTGAATAGATTATGAAGAGATTTTTGATATAACAAAGAATCTAGATCATGGATCCAAGTATGAACTTACCTTAGATGATGATTTTTGTGATATAATCTCCTTGAAAAGCTCCTAAATCTCGAAAATTTGATGAAGAATGAAGAGAGTTCTTATGTGTTTGAGAGAGATTTTTGAGAGTGTGTGTGTTTTCCTTTGTGGTTCTCGGCCGAAGGTAGAAAAGAGAGAGGAAGAGAAGTGAGTGAAGAGATGGTTACTTGGAAACATGGGATGTTGCATGGAGAACCATGATATAATAATGAGGTGGCAAATGAAAGTCAACTCTCTTCCATTTTGAGTTGTTGGGCCGAGAAGAGGAGAAAGGAAGAAAGAAAATTGGGCTTTTTGTTCTTAAGTCCATCTTATGGCCCAATTAGGTAATTTTTGGCCCAAAATAAATCAAGGATGATTTTTATGATCCATTAGGGCTAATTAGATTTGTTATGGCCCAATAATTTAAGATAAACTAGTTCATTTTAGGCTTATAAGGCCCAAAATATTAAGTTTCATGTATATGGGTCCAATTAGAGCCCATTTAAGAGTCCTAAACCCAAAAAAATCAAGTTGGAAACTTTTTGGTCCAATAGGCCCAATAGGAAATTCCTAGTCCAAAATGGACTTAAACCGGGATTTCAAGGGTTTCCAAATCTTTGTTGATTAGTTGTAGTGCTTGTATAAAGTGTTTGATGGAAGTTTTGTTGTTATTGAATAAGCATCATACATGCTTTCACATTTTTGGTTCACAATTGTTATCATTGTTGTTGTTACTGATGGGTTTTGAGCATTCTAACACTTCCTAAGTGTACATGCAACCCTAATAACCTTGAATCTATGTTTTCTCTATATACATGCAAATTTCTTTTCAAGGTTATTTCCTAACTAGCTTGGCATGGGGATTACATAGAACATAAAACTAGTAGAAATACATACCTTGTTGTTGCTTGGATTCCTTCAAGACTTTGTGAGCCTAGCACCCCAAATGTTGTGCCTCAAATTCTTCACACAACACCACAAGACTTGGAATAACTTGAGAGAATACTTCTTACACTTGAAAATCGGTTATGCCCTTACTAGAAAAAACTAGGTCACGATTTTGCTAGCCATAGGGTTCCTTTTATAGTGTTGTCACAATTAGGGTTTACATATGAATGCCCTTAATTGTCATGACTCTTGATTTCTCATGACCCATGGG